TTAGCGAGACAGGATGGCCTCGTACATCCAAGCCTACATTGTAAAAAACAATCTATATCATAATTCAAACACATATATTATAAAAAATATAACAGAGAGCTATTAATATTACTTGCATTGCCCAGGGGAAGCCAAACAATTATACGTGCTTGGTTTAGCCTTCCCGCCCCATTCAGTATGCTTTAACGCCATGTCTGGTTTTTTCAGCTCTTGATGGTTTGCTTAAATGATATCCTCCCCACGGATAAGATTAAAAGAACTCCAAGTCGCTTGCAAACAACAACCAATCTTTCTCAACATCTTTTTGTTGAGTCACCAACCAATAAGATAGAATGTAAAAACAATAGCAAGCACACTTTTATCTTCTCTCCATCATTAAACCGAACTGTTTCTAGCTTCTCCTTTAAAACGTGTCCTATAATAGACTTTGCCCCCTACAAAACCTTTTTACGAAACCTTATGGCTCCCGAACTCATCCTTATTGCGTCTGCCTTCGCCTTATTTGGTACTTCCCCGCATCCTAAGCCTGTCACCAAGGCATACTCCATCATCCCAAACCGTAGTGGCTTTCCATCCACCATGAACCACATTTCATTTTTTTTGTTGCATTTTACTAAGTACAGCAACATGTAATGCACTCCCTGCTCCCAAAATGCCTTTTTCCAATTTGTTCCAATTCTTAAAAACTGACCAAAACAAGTATGACTAAAATCTCTTTCACTGTCACCCTTGCAGGGAAGTAGGGTACCTTCTCACTTATAGGCTCCAACTCGTAGTCTCTATAGTTTATGGTCTGCACAATCTGCACAATCGATATAAACAAAATGTCAGCAACAAAAATAAACCAAAACAACTAATAAACAAAATATCAGTAGCAAAAAATTACCACTGTAGTCGCTTAAGCGATTTCGGTTCGCTTAAGAGATCTTGACTCTACCTCGTGCAAGATTGCTTAAGCAATCTGAGACCAAGAGTAAACTAAGAATCTCTTCAGCGATACAAAAGATCGCTTATTATATCTGTGATTCTGCCTCGACAAGATTGCTTAAGCAATCTGAAATCGCTTAAGTGACCAAGAGTAAACACTCATATCGCTTAGGCAATCATGCGTAAAACAGATTAATCGCTTAAGTGATACAAATGATCGCTTAAGCGATAGTACAAGCAATATTCCCAAACAACATACCCTTTCTTCGTCGGCCTCCTCCTCCTCATCGCCTGAATCCTTAGACAACTCCTCCTGGCCTGAATTCTCGCCAGAATCCTCCTCCTGGCTCCTCCTGGCTTGAATTCTCTCCGGAATCCTCATCATGGCCTGAATTCTCGCCTGACTTCTCGTCTTTAGAACCGTTTGCAGATTCTTCCCTCTGTTCTTGTGCCGCCGGCATCTCCTCTGTGTGTGGACCACCTTCACTGATCGGATGATCCACTGGAGCAGCTATTGAATTGCTTGCGCCACCGGAATCTAGGATTCGAAGTGGCGTTGGGTTTTCCTCCTCATTATGAGTGTCAGCCATGGTTTTGGATTGAATTTGGTGTCAAAGTTTGCAGTTTCGATCACAAATGTGGACTGTATCACTGGAGATCACACATATTCCGTTTAGGGTTAAGGAAATCGATTTTAGGGTTCAGCAAATCAATCAAAAATTGTGACTATATCGCCGAAAATCGCAACTGTATTTTGTTTAGGGTTCAAGAAATTGATTTAGGGTGCAAATTTGTAGGTGTTCGATCGAAAAAAATCGCGTCTGCCTTTGGTTCAAGATATCGCTTTTTGCCCTAATGAATTTCGATTAAGCGAGGTGAATAGTGGGGCTTGTTTTGAGAACTTTCAAATTTTAAAAAACTTTCATTATTTCTGATTCGGCCCACATATGTTTTAATCTTTTCATTTTAACCCATTTTACGTGTTTAATTAATCTTAACTATGCCACATCATCTTCTCTAAATTAAAAAAAAATGAAAAACAGTTTCAAGGCCATTTTCTTAAATCGAAACTTGGGATGGCTGGGCAGCTAAATTTTCTCAAATTTAACACGCCTGGTCACCCCTAGTGTCTTTCTCTACATCGCCCCTTCTCTATCTCACCCACACCGTTGCTCCTTTCTCCCTCCAATCTTTCCACAATCGTCGGTCCTCTCTCCCACCCCCTCACCCTCTATCCCTCCCTAACCAACAGCTGCGCCCTTTTCTCCGTCCCTAATCCACAGCCACCATTCCATTCTCCCCTTCCCTAACCCACCACTGTGGCTTCAATCTTTGCTGTATTTTGATTTGTTATGTTGTACATTTTTCGTCAAAATTATTCTCCTTCGATTTGTTTAGTTAGTTCATTTAGATTTCTTATGATTTTGGTGGTGTTGTGGATTTTTGTTTTGTTGATGTTATGGATTTTGGTGATTAAATGTTTGTAAATTTTGGTGATTTTGCTGACGAATGTGGAAGATGGAGGGAGAAAGGGTTGGCGGTGTGGGTGAGATTGAGAAGAGGCGATTTAGAGAAAGAACCAGGGGTGACTGGAGTTTTTAGATTTTGGGGTTTTAATTAACTATTAATTAATATATAAATTTATTATTTCATATAAATAATAATTCAACATTTTATTTGCTTAAATTCAAATAAGTGATTTAAATCCATAAACTGAAGATATTTAAAAATTAAAAAAGCCCAAATAACAGTATCTTTTACAAACTCACATGGACGAATTGGTCATTTTATTAAGCATAACAACTTGATGGCATACTAGTAATTTAATGTCAATGATGTAGGTATTTACGTAATTGACTAAGTTGACTTGCCATAGATTAATTAAAAAATAAAATATCAAACTTTTAAGGGTATTTCAGTCTTTTTAAGCATTGTTGGCAAAAGTCTCTAACCAAACCTGACGGAAAGACTATGTCATTTTCAAACCTTTTGATACCAATTGTCTTTATGGCAAACTATAGGTGTGTGCATGTCGTTCGCCCAATCTTTCACAGGATGCCATTTAAAGTTCTTATAAGACGATTGCCGGGATAAAGAAAAAGGCATCAGCCAATAATTTTATGTAGAAACTGTAGAAGCCCAATTTGGGTTTAAATTATGTATATGACATAGCAAAAAATATTTGGTAAAAAATTATTTTCAATTTAAAATTACTCAATCAGCTTTTGCCACATAATGTAATATGAGAATTTATTATATGTATAGTATTATGCTTAAATTATTTGGAGAGTTAAGACATGTTTCCATCCAAAAAAAAGTTTCATTGACACTTTTCGACCCTTAAACTTTTAAAACAACCCTCACTACCCAAATAATATGTTTCCCTCTTATTTGGGTGGGAAATATGGTGATTTACGAAAAAGCCCTCTTCTTAGCCTCTTCCCTTACTGGCAATTGCCGCAGACGTTGGGGAGCGCCGGCGACTAGAAAATATTGCAAATAAACATTCATCAATTGTCTTTCAAACTAACAAACACAAAAATCGAATGAATCAATCCCAATTAATCAATTAAAACTCGAAAAAACCCTAGGATGGGGGAGCTTCAGCCACTAGCGATTGGTGAGCAAACGAGATCCAGGATGTTGGGGCATTTGGAGAGGAAGATCCAGGGAATCGATTGGTGGTAGCAGGGATGATTTTTGGCACCGAAAACGATCAAAAATCGGCTTAAAAGTCGAAAGGTCACGCGGTGCACGCTTGGCGATCAATGAGCAAGGGACGGTGATGGAAGTAAGGGTTTTGTAGAGTGGGTTGTGGGGAATGTGATGGTGGTGTCTAGGGGAATTTATGGTAAAGAAATCGACTGAAAATCCGGCTTGAAGAGTTGGCTATGCGAATGGAGGTGGTAGTGGGAAATGGTGAGTGATAACAGTAAATGGAGGCTTAGGCTTTATAGAGGAGGTGACGGGGATTTTGTGGGTGGTCTTGGAAGTGATTTTGAATGCCGGGATGGGTCAAAAAAGGGCAAAAATCGTCGACTGTGACGCTGCTAACATGTGCCATTTCTTACTAACGTGCGTCGTTCTTTTTCTCTGGCAACCAATGATTGTTGACCATTATGCCCTCATTAATAATGGATTTTTGGCTATTTTGCCCTTCTTGAGAAGAAAAATTACTAACAAAATTATTTTTTGGGTACTGAAATGGTATTTAAAAAGTGGGTGGGTATGAATTTGTCAATAAGCTATTTTTTGGGTGGGAACACGTCGTTAACTCATTATTTGGGTGAAAGGCTTTTTCGTTTTTGTTTCCATTTGTTTCATTCTATATTTATCTCATAAAATACATTTATAATTTATGTTTTCTAGAGCAGAAAATATAAAAAATTAAAAACTCACAAAACATAAAAAAAAAAAAAAAAATTTGTCTAAGTTTTTATTATTCATTATACCACGGTATTTCATAGTTATCATAAGAAAACATTAAATAACAATCAGATTTTCATTGTTTTATATTTTCAAATGCTATTTTTAGAAAATGATAATGAACTCATATTCGAAATTTGAAATACAAAATTAAACTATGANAAAAAAAAAAAAAAAAAAAAAAAAAAAAAGTTGTTTTCTAAGTTTTTATTATTCATTATACCACGATATTTCATAGTTATCATAAGAAAACATTAAATAACAATCAGATTTTCATTGTTTTATATTTTCAAATGCTATTTTTAGAAAATGATAATGAACTCATATTCGAAATTTGAAATACAAAATTAAACTATGAGTTCGAAATTTGAAATACAAAATTAAACTTATTATTTTCATTTTCGATTTTATTTTTGAAAAAAAAAATTTTAAAAACGTAACTGAGTGCCACCATAAATTGTAGGTGCTTTTGAACTAAAGAAAAAATTAAGTGCATGTACCTTTTCTTTTTCTTTTTCGTTTTTTTTTTCACTCTATTTTATCTGTAAAATATTGGCCCCATTGGTTCACTATTATTATTTTGCCTAACGATATGCACCCACCTGTAGTTTGCCGTAAAGACAAGTTGGTACCCAAAAAGTTTGAAAATGACAAACAACTACTTCCCGTCAACATTTGTTAGGGAGTTCCGTTTGAAGAAGGATAGTGTGGTAATTTTGCAACTTTCCTCCCTTTTCTTATTTCTTTTTCTTTTCTTCAATTTTTTCTACTGTGCCGCCTCCAAAGAAAGCAGCAGAATTTTACGTCCCCTTCTCTCTTCTTTTTTCTTTCTTCTTCTCTTACTCTTCAATTTTTTTGTTCTCTTCTGCAGATCTGGCCAGTCGCTTCTCCTTTTTCTCTTCCTTTCTTTCTCCTCTCTTTTTCTTATTTCTTTGGCCATCAGCTTCTCCTTTTTCATCTTTTGCAGATCTAGCTAGCCGCTTCTCCCTTCTCCTCTCTTTTGTTGGAATCGTTGAACTCGTCCATTGACACTCTATCAAGAAGCTTGTTATGGGAGTAGTAGCAGACAAACACTATGCAGAGTAACAATTACTAGGACATTTATATTATTTGTTTCTAGTCTTGTGTATTAGTGTCCATCTTTATTAAAATCTGGAGTTTTGATGGTGTTTTTATTTATATTTTTATAAATTCAAGAGAAGGGAGGTTTCTTGTACTGGTAAAAGAATTTTTTTGTGAAATGTCAACTACTTGGGTAAAGCATATTTATCATCAAGTAGGAACTATTTGGTGGAGTAGATGGTGTTTGTGGTGGAGGTGAAGCTTTTGGTGGATCAGATGGTGGTGATGGAGATGAATTTGAGGGTGAAATAGGACTTGTTGGTGGGTTGGCCACTAGTGTTGGTGGAGGGGAATTCGTTGGTGGAGTAAATACTGGTGGTGGTGAAGGTGAACTCCTTGGTGGATTAGATAATAGCAGTGGTAGGGGCGATGAACTCGTTGGTGGATTGGATGCCATTGGTGGTGGTGGTCGTGGTCGAGATGAACTAGTTGGTGGATTAGATATAGGTGGAGATGGTGGTGGTGATGTAGGTGAAATGGATTGTTGAGGAGGAGGGGGAAAAGGTGTAGATGTCAATGGGGGTGTGGAGATGTATTTTGAGGAGGTGGTGGTGAGACTGGTGGTTGTGCAGGAGCAAGGCCGGCTCAAGGATATAGGTGGAGATGGTGGTGATGATGTAGGTGAAATGGATTGTTGAGGAGGAGGGGGAAAAGGTGTAGATGTCAATGGGGGTGTGGAGATGTATTTTGAGGAGGTGGTGGTGAGACTGGTGGTTGTGCAGGAGCAATTGTCAGCTCAAGGGGTAGGAGGTGAGGCGTAGGGCCACAACAAAAAAAAAAAAAAAAAAAAAAAAAAAAAAAAAAAAAGGGGTTTATGTTTTTTTTTTTAAAAATATTTACAGAATACCATGGGCCTAAAAAAGTTATAATTCTTATTCAAGCCGTCCAAAGGGCCCAAAAAAGCCAAAAATGCCAAATCATTAAATTTATTTTTTTTTACATATATTTACAAAAAAAACCCATGTTTTATATTTTCCATTCACACCCCTAAATTAACTAAAATGGTCATTTACATGTCTAAAATTTCAAAACCCCCATTCAATCCTTAAAATGATGAAAACATTGCATCTCCACCCCTCTACACTGCCATAGTGCCGCCGCCAGCATTAAAGTGATGATTCTGATTGATTTTCTCACCAAAATCGATCTGATGAAAATCGATCAGATTCATCACTTTATCATTAATCATACGTTTTCCTAGCCTTGGTAACCCGCAATTTGGCCGATTTTTGCTAATTTTTGTAACCCATCTTCATTCTCCACTGCATACGATAGTCACTTCGCGGCATGTATCCACCGTTGTTGACCTTCCCTGACACCACCATCTTCCTCTCCTCAGCCCTCTCTCCAAAACCCCTCACTTACCTAACCCCGTTAGCTCGTCGTCCAACTCTCCTAACCAGTTTCGAATTTTTTTCAATTGGGTTTGTTAATGATTTTTGGTCCTGTGTTTTATGGTAATGGTTATCTCTCTAGTAATTGGTTGATCGGAGTTGTCTGTTTGGGATGATTTATGGAGTTGATTGACTGTTTTTGGTGTGTTTGGGTTTCGGTTGTGTTGGACTGGTGGTGGTTTGGCCGGCTAGTGTTGGGAAAGAAGAAGGGGCCTAGCTGGTGGTTTGGAAATTGGAATAGGGTGGTTTGGAATTTAGCCATTAAGGGTGTGAATCTGCAATTTAGGAAACCAGGGGTACCAACTGTGATTTCAATAAACCTACCTTGGGTGGGTATATGTCGTTTACTTTATAATTTCCCAATTCCCATCAATCCTACCTTTTGCAACCTATCTCTGTAAGCTTGAAACACATTGCTGACTCAATTTTTCCGTTGAGACACCTTGCTTGCTGCAATCTCAAATGTCAAATCACAATCTCCTCTCTCTCCCATATCCAAATGACAACCTCTTATATAAATTCACTTACCGGGTTATCTATCATTTTACTCAAAAAATTCAGTGTTCTCATTTTTTACTCTTAGCATTCTCAACTCATTTTACTCTCAAGTCTCAACTTTCTCATCTCTTGTCTCTCAGTTTTCTCATCTCTATAGACGAAAATTTATCAAGTGAATGTGTAATTTATATTATTGTTTTTATGCAGGGTAATATTACAGGTTCTAAATCATTTTACTTTTAGCATTTTCAACTCATTTTATTTTATATTTGATCAAGTGAATGTGTGATTTACATTATTATTTTTATGCAAGGTAATAATATAGGATTTTACAGTTTCAGCACAGCATAAAGCAAAATTAGGAGCATAAATCAGGCGCTAAAGTTCCTTCTTAATTTTTATAAATATTTTTATTTTAGCAAAATAATAGTAAAAGCTCTAAATTATTTATTCTTTGAATAGAAATGTCAACTAGGAAGTATGAATCTGGATTAGAAAAACGTAAGAAAAAAAAAAAAAAAAATAGAAGAACTAATTCAATTCCAAAAAGGTGCACTTGATAGATTTGTTATTAATGCAAAACACCAAATGCTAGAAAAACCAAACGAAGATTTAAATTAAAAATCAATTGAAAGTTGTGAAGAAATTTTTAAAGATAACAATTCACATTCATAAAAAAAATAGTGAAGAATATCATGAAAATTTAGAAGAGGAAATTTCATTCGACAAAAATGAAAATATTAATGATAAAGATGAAACAACTATTAAAGATATTTATGATCTGGTACACTGGAATAATTTAGACACAAGCTTATGTGATTTATTAGTTGAGAAATGTCCAATTAGACATGTTTTAGATTTTCCAAGAGATGAAAATTTTAGACACTTTTCTATAATTCATTACATTCGAAAATTACCAAATGGAGAAAAACATGATAGAAAATGGCTAGTATATTCAAAAGAATTAGATAAAGTATTTTGTTTTTGTTGTAAATTATTTAGTTTAAAATCAAATACAATTTAATTAGTAAATGAAGGGTGTGGAGATTGGAAAAATCTTAGTGCCAAGCTTAAAAGTCACGAAACAAACAATAAACATGCCATAAATATGAACATTTGGGTTGATGTTTAGATGAGATTGCTTAAAAACAAAACAATTGATAAATGTTTACAAGAGAAAATAAATAAAGAGAAAGAGCATTGGAAGAATGTACCATTAAGAATTATAGCGGTTGTAAAAAAATCTTTCAAAAAATAATTTGATATTTCGTGGTACAAATGAGAAGATTTATCAAGAAAATAATAGAAATTTTTTGAATTTAATTGAAATGATTGCCGAGTTTGATCCAATAATACAAGAACACCTTAGACGCATTCAAAATGGAGAAATTCATACTCATTATCTTGGTCATAATATACAAATTGAGTTGATAACTATTTTAGCATTAGAAATAAGAAATACCATTATTAAAAAAAATCAAGGAATCAAAATATTTTTCAGTGATATTTAATCATACCCCAGATACAAGTCATCAAGAACAAATGTCACTTATATTAAAATGTGTAGATGTTTCAATAAGTCCTATAAAAATAGAAGAGTACTTTATAGATTTTATAAAAGTGGATGATACTTTTGGTCAAGGTCTTTTTAATGTACTCACAATTATACTAAAAAATCTTGAACTTGATGTAAATAATGTGAGAAGACAATGATATGATAATAGGTCTAATAGGAAAGGTAAACAACAAGGTGTGCAAAAAAGATTATTAGATATAAAGTCTAAAGCATTTTATACACCATGTGGTTGTCACAGTCTTAATTTAGTTCTTTGTGATATGGCTACTTCATGTGCTGATGCTATTGCATTTTTTGGAGTGACACAACACACATACTCATTATTTTCTTCTTATACAAAACGATGAAAAATTTTGCAAGATCATGTTTCTAATTTGACACTTAAGCCATTATCACAAACACGTTGGGAAAGTCGTTTTGAAAGTGTTAAAACAATAAAATTTCAAGTTCCATAAATAAGAGATGTTTTATATCAATTAGCAGAAACTAGTGAAGATCCTAAAACAAAAAGTGAAGATATTTCTTTAGTAACATATGATATTGAAAATTTTGAATTTCTATTAGACATGATTATTTGGTATGAAATGTTATTTGCTGTTAATAAGGTTAGTAAATATTTACAATATAAAAATATGGACATTGTTGTTGCAATAAATTAGTTGAAAGATCTTGTTTCATTTTTTGAAAAATATAGAGAAACTGAGTTTACATCTTTTATGATTTCTGCTAAAGAGATTGCAGAGCAAATGAATATAGAAACAAAATTTCGTGAAAAATGTAGAATAAAGAGGAAAAAACAATTTGATGAGAATGAAAACGAAGAGATGAAATTGTCTGTTGAAGAATCTTTTAGAATAAATTATTTCACATATTTAGTTGATCATGCCATTTCCTCACTTCAAAGTAGGTTTGAACAATTTGAAATATATAATGATAATTTTGGTTTCCTTTATAATATAGAAAAGTTAAAATTGCTTGATGATGATAATTCCAAGAAAAATTGTTTAAATCTTGAAAACTTTTTAAAACATGACATACTCTCTGATATTGATGGTTTAGATTTATATTTAGAACTAAATGTTTTAAAAGAAATTATAAATGTAGAAATTAAAACACCACTTGAGATACTAGATTTTATAAAAAAAGTAAATTCTTTTCCAAATGCATGGATAACTTATAGAATACTATTAACTATTCCAGTTACTATAGCTTCAGCAGAAAGAAGTTTTTCAAAATCAAAGTTAACAAAACCATATTTGCGTTTAACTATGTCATACGAAAGATTAGGTAATTTGATTATATTATCGATTGAAAAAGATTTGGTTTCTAAACTTGAATATAAAAAATTAATTAGTGATTTTGCATTTCAAAAGACGAGAAAAATAAAATTGAAATAATTTTTTAATATACGCTTGTATTATTAAATGGGCCTCAAAATAACTTTTGCCTAAGATCATAAATGTTCTTGAGACGACCATGTGTAGGAGGTGATGGAGTAGAAGGTGTAGTGGGGTCAGGTTGATTTGAATTGGGCTCAGAAGGTGAGGAGGTTGTAGGAGGTGGAGAAGATGGCTGTGATGATGGTGGTGGATTGGTGTTAGATGGTGGTGGACTGGTGTGGAGGGTGGTGAAGGTGGCACAGTGGTGGGAGATGAATTTGGAGGCGCACAGGAGTAAAGAAAAATTAGAAGAAATAAAAGGAAAGAAGAAAAGAGAGGAAAGCGGCATTCTTTTTCAATTGAATGCAAAATTAACACATTGTCCTTCTTCAAACGGAATTCACTAACATATGATGACGAAAGTNAGGTTGATTTGAATTGGGCTCAGAAGGTGAGGAGGTTGTAGGAGGTGGAGAAGATGGCTGTGATGATGGTGGTGGATTGGTGTTAGATGGTGGTGGACTGGTGTGGAGGGTGGTGAAGGTGGCACAGTAGTGGGAGATGAATTTGGAGGCGCACAGGAGTAAAGAAAAATTAGAAGAAATAAAAGGAAAGAAGAAAAGAGAGGAAAGAGGCATTCTTTTTCAATTGAATGCAAAATTAACACATTGTCCTTCTTCAAACGGAATTCACTAACATATGATGACGAAAGTAGTTGTTTGTTATTTTCAAACATTTTGGGTACCAGCTATCTTTACGGCAAAGGGGGGCCTCTAAAACAATTGGAAAGAAATAGATTCGTCTTTCACATAACACGGCACTAATCACGCCTCACCAAGTCACCAATCTCATTTCAATTAAAAAACGTCCACGTTCAATGAACCGTAGACTCCTAAGATTCGCGACCAAACAGACATTGATAATTCATAGTTCACGATCACGCCTCTTTTATTTCTCCTTAAAAATCTCATACTTTTACTTTACCTTCAACTTCTCTCACTGTCTTCTAAACCACACTGCGGAAAAGCTTGGCTACTAATAGCCACTCCACAGATGGCGTTCACGGAGTTTAGACGACTTGACGAGGATTCTTTAATAGAGTACATCAAAGCGACACCGTCTTTGTCCTCCAAGATTGGTAACAAGTTCGATGACTTGACCATCAAAGAAGTCGGAGATGGCAATCTTAATTTCGTCTACATTGTTGCTGGCTCTTCTGGTTCTTTTGTCCTCAAGCAGGTATTTAGAGTTTCAATTTCAATACACGATTAATTTTTTTTTTCTTTGAAGAAGTCAGCTTATTAAGAAAGCTTATCAATGAAATGGTTTGGAAACAGTTTTCAATTGTACTTCTACAGATGATGATGGAAGTGTTTTTTATTGCTATAGTCTGAAGTTATATATCTTTAAGTTTTTATAACGCAAATTTCATTTACGTTTCAAGCTTTAAAAAATCAGCCTAGATTTTCTCTGTGAAAATTTGTTTTCCATTATTGAACAAACGCTGCTTTTAAAGGTTTCTTTTTGTGGATCTCTTTATAACCACCTAATTAGCGTGCAGCTAAAGCTCAATCGATATAAGCATGTGAAATGTCTTTTACAATCTCAGATATTATACATTCCAGCTGGGTTTGGGCTTCAGACTTTCACTGCATTAATTTCCTAAAATTGTCAAATTAGTTTGACTACGAAATTAATTTATGTAGTGTGTATTACAATAATATGTCATATTGGTTACAGCTTATTAGAATTTTAGCACCTTAATGTTCTCGTGATTGAACAAATTTCAGTGTCTGTATGTTCAGAAATGACATTCTTTTTTCTATACAAGTAGGGGTATTGATAGGAACAAAAGAAGATTATGAATCTCGTTAGACATTGAACTAGGCTTTTAGCTTTTTCGCATTAACTATAGTTTCAGGTGCTTTATTTGTATATTTCTTATGGATTAAGGTTGTGCCATATTTATTAAAGGGTGGTGTTAATGTACATATGAAAATAATGCGGAAGGTGTTGAGATATTTTGTAATTTGATTGGGTGTAGGCTCTTCCATACATACGGTGTATTGGTGAATCATGGCCCATGACAAAGGAGCGAGCATATTTTGAGGCAATGGCGTTGAAAGAGCATGGCCAGTTGTGCCCTGGTCATGTTCCCGAAGTGTATCATTTTGACCGTACGATGGCGTTGATTGGTATGCGATACTTGGAGCCTCCGCATATTATCCTGAGAAAAGGGTTGATTGCTGGAATTGAGTATCCATTGCTTGCGGAACACATGTCAGAATATATGGCGAGGACTCTTTTCAGCACATCTCTTCTTTATCGTACTACCTTGGAGCACAAACGTGCTGGTAAAAGTTTTTCCATCATTCGTATTGTTTTAGGATTCATTTTTTTTTCCCACTGTCGTATAGTTTAATTTTTCATTTAAAAAGTTGTACTTTAATATAGCTGATATTTATTGCATAATACCTTTCAATTATATGTAAATTGTAGATTATGAGATGACATTCATGCTTGAAAAAAAATTATTCTTATTTTTGAATTGTTGCAGCATTGATTCACACACGCATTTATAATTTTTTCTCCTAACTCGGAAACTATAAATGTAGAAATATAAAACAACTTGAACTAGATTTCATAAAAAAAAGTGAATTCTTTTCAAATGCATGGATAGCTTATAGAATACTATTAACTATTCATGTATTGTAGCTTCAGTGGAAAGAAGTTTTTCAAAATCAAAGTTAACAAAATCATATTTGCGTTTAACCATGTCATAAGAAAGATTAGGTAATTTGACTATATTATCATGAAAAAGATTTGTTCTAAACTTGAATATAAAAAATTAATTAGTGATTGTATTTCAAAAGGCAAGAAAAATAAAATTGAAATAATTTTTTATATGCTTATATATTAAAATGGCCTCAAAAACTTTTGCCTAAGATCACAATGTTCTGAGACGACCATGTGTAGGAGGTGATGGAGTAGAAGGTGTAGTGGGGTAAGGTGATTTAAGGTCGGTTGGTCGGGTGGAGTGGTGATAGTCAAAGTTTGAAAAGACCGGGTCGGTCGGTGGCATAGGGAGAGTGGTGATCCAATACTTGGTTCCTAGGGAGGATGGAGTTGAGTCGGTCGGTCGGTCTGGTGGAGTGGTGATCCAATACTTTGTTCTTGGGGAGTTAGGATGGTGGAGTTGAGTCGGTCGGTCGGGTGGAGTGGAGATCCAATACTTGGTTCCTGGGGAGTGAGGATGGTGGAGTTGAGTCGGTCGGTCGGGTAGAGTGGACATCCAATACTTGGTTCTTGGAGAGTGATGGTGGAGTTGAGTCGGTCGGTCGGTCGGTAGAGTGGACATCTAATACATGTTTCTTGGGGAGGATGGAGTTGAGTCAGTCGGTCGGTCGGTTCGATAGAGTGGACATCCAATACATGGTTCTTGGGGAGTGAGGATGGAGTAGAGTCGGTCCGTCGGGTAGAGTGGACATCCAATACTTGGTTCTTAGGGAGTGATGGTGGAGTTGAGTCGGTCGGTCGGTCGGGCAGAGTGGACATCTAATACATGGTTCTTGGGGAGTGAGGATGGAGTGGAGCCGGTCCGTCGGGTAGAGTGGACATCCAATACTTGGTTCCTGGGGAGTGATGGTGGAGTTGAGTCGGTCGATCGGTCGGGTAGAGTGGACATCTAATACATGGTTCTTATGGAGGATGGAGTTGAGTTGGTCGGTCGGTCCCATGAGGTTGAGGCCACTAACGATCCGCTGCACTTGCACACGTAGAGAAACACACGCGTGAAGCGAACGGGAAACACCAGGGTGGTGTTTGCCGTAGGCATTCCGACGCTCAAGTCAGCAAGGCTGAGAGAGGCTAATATAGTGAGGGTTAGGGAGTACAGGTTACCAGAAGTCTAAATAGGGACTGTGACTATGGCGGTGATGTGGAGCTCTCAAGTCAGAGCTTTCAGTGTGAAGGTGTAATGTCATCTCCCCTTTGTGAAAGGGCTGGCCTCTGCTTATATAGTGGTCGTCTGGTCTCCCAATCCTGGTAGAAGTAGGAGTCCTAGTATGACTCTGATGCAAACCCTAGAAGAATTAGGGCCGTGGTAAGCTGTCTTACCAGTATCCGGATAGGAAGGTGATTCTGATTAGGAGAGTAACTCCGAGTAGGAAAGTGATCAGGAATAGGAAGGTGACCTTGAATGAGAGATTGATCAGGAGTAGGAAAGGATTCTGAGGGGGTTGTGGGCTCTGGATTCGCCCATGGACCTAGGAAATGGACCGAGATTAGGAGGCTCGTGCCCACGTGGTTTGGGCTGGCTATATCTTGTACCGAATAGGCCTAATCTGGTTGGGTCATATCGGGATTGGGCCTGGCTTCTTCTTCAGTGTCGAGCTCGTTTTCCTATTCGGGCCAAGGACGATTTTTGGCCCTAACAAGTACTTTATAGATTTTATAAAAGTGGATGATACTTTTGGTCAAGGTCTTTTTAATGTACTCACAATTATACTAAAAAATCTTGAATTTGATGTAAATAATGTGAGAAGACAAAGATATGATAATGGGTCTAATATGAAAGGTAAACAACAAGGTGTGCAAAAAAGATTATTAGATATAAAGTCTAGAGCATTTTATACACCATGTGGTTGTCACAGTCTTAATTTAGTTCTTTGTGATAATGACTACTTCATGTGCTGATGCTTTTGCATTTTTTGGAGTGACACAACACATATACTCATTATTTTCTTCTTATACAAAACGATGAAAATTTTTGCAAGATCATATTTCTAATTTGACACTTAAGCCATTATCACAAACACGTTGGGAAAGTCGTTTTGAAAGTGTTAAAACAATAAAATTTCAAGCTCCACAAATAAGAGATGTTTTATATCAATTAGCAGAAACTAGTGAAGATCCTAAAACAAAAAGTGACGATATTTCTTTAGTAACATATGAGATTGAAAATTTTGAATTTCTATTAGGCATGATTATTTGGTATGAAATGTTATTTGCTGTTAATAAGATTAGTAAATATTTACAATATAAAAATATGGACATTGTTGTTGCAACAAATTAGTTGAAAGATCTTGTTTCATTTTTTGAAAAATATAGAGAAATTGAGTTTACATCTTCTATGATTTCTGCTAAAGAGATTGCAGAGCAAATGAATATAGAAACAAAATTTCATGAAAAATGTAGAATAAAGAGGAAAAAACAATTTGATGAGAATGAAAGCGAAGAGATGAAATTGTCCGCTGAAGAATCTTTTAGAATAAATTATTTCACATATTTAGTTGATCATGTCATTTCTTCACTTCAAAGTAGGTTTGAACAATTTGAAATATATAGTGATAATTTTAGTTTCCTTTATAATATAGAAAAGTTAAAATTGCTTGATGATGATAATTCGAAGAAAAATTGTTTAAATCTTGAAAACTTTTTAAAACATGACATGCTCTTTGATATTGATGGTTTAGATTTATATTTATAACTAAATGTTTTAAAAGAAACTATAAATGTAGAAATTAAAACACCACTTGAGATACTAGATTTCATAAAAAAAAGTGAATTCTTTTTCAAATGCATGGATAGCTTATAGAATACTATTAACTATTCATGTTATTGTAGCTTCAGTGGAAAGAAGTTTTTCAAAATCAAAGTTAACAAAATCATATTTGCGTTTAACCATGTCATAAGAAAGATTAGGTAATTTGACTATATTATCAATTGAAAAAGATTTGGTTTCTAAACTTGAATATAAAAAAATTAATTAGTGATTTTGTATTTCAAAAGGCAAGAAAAATAAAATTGAAATAATTTTTTAATATATGCTTATATTATTAAAATGGCCTCAAAGTAACTTTTGCCTAAGATCACAAATGTTCTTGAGACGACCATGTGTAGGAGGTGATGGAGTAGAAGGTGTAGTGGGGTAAGGTTGATTTGAATTGGGCTCAGAAGGTGAGGAGGTTGTAGGAGGTGGAGAAGATGGCTGTGATGATGGTGGTGGATTGGTGTTAGATGGTGGTGGACTGGTGTGGAGGGTGGTGAAGGTGGCACAGTAGTGGGAGATGAATTTGGAGGCGCACAGGAGTAAAGAAAAATTAGAAGAAATAAAAGGAAAGAAGAAAAGAGAGGAAAGTGGCATTCTTTTTCAATTGAATGCAAAATTAACACATTGTCCTCCTTCAAACGGAATTCACTAACATATGATGACGAAAGTTGTTGTTTGTTATTTTCAAACATTTTGGGTACCAGCTATCTTTACGGCAAAGGGGGGCCTCTAAAACAATTGGAAAGAAATAGATTCGTCTTTCACATAACACGGCACTAATCACGCCTCACCAAGTCACCAATCTCATTTCAATTAAAAAACGTCCACGTTCAATGAACCGTAGACTCCTAAGATTCGCGACCAAACAGACATTGATAATTCATAGTTCACGATCACGCCTCTTTTATTTCTCCTTAAAAATCTCATACTTTTACTTTACCTTCAACTTCTCTCACTGTCTTCTAAACCACACTGCGGAAAAGCTTGGCTACTAATAGCCACTCCACATATGGCGTTCACGGAGTTTAGACGACTTGACGAGGACTCTTTAATAGAGTACATCAAAGCGACACCGTCTTTGTCCTCCAAGATTGGTAACAAGTTCGATGACTTGACCATCAAAGAAGTCGGAGATGGCAATCTTAATTTCGTCTACATTGTTGCTGGCTCTTCTGGTTCTTTTGTCCTCAAGCAGGTATTTAGAGTTTCAATTTCAATACACGATTAATTTTTTTTTCTTTGAAGAAGTCAGCTTATTAAGAAAGCTTTTCAATGAAATGGTTTGGAAACAGTTTTCAATTGTACTTCTACAGATGATGATGGAAGTGTTTTTTATTGCTATAGTCTGAAGTTATATATATCTTTAAGTTTTTATAACGCAAATTTCATTTACGTTTCAAGCTTTAAAAAATCAGCCTAGATTTTCTCTGTCAAAATTTGCTTTTAAAGGTTTCTTTTTGTGCATCTCTTATAACCACCTAATTAGCGTGCAGCTAAAGCTCAATCGATATAAGCATGTGAAATGTCTTTTACAATCTCAGATATTATACATTCCAGCTGGGTTTGAGCTTCAGACTTTCACTGCATTAATTTCCTAAAATTGTCAAATTAGTTTGACTACGAAATTAATTTATGTAGTGTGTATTACAATAATATGTCATATTGGTTACAGCTTATTAGTATTTTAGCACCTTAATGTTCTCGTGATTGAACAAATTTCAGTGTCTGTATGTTCAGAAATGACATTCTTTTTTCTATACAAGTAGGGGTATTGATAGGAACAAAAGAAGATTATGAATCTCGTTAGACATTGAACTAGGCTTTTAGCTTTTTCGCATTAACTATAGTTTCAGGTGCTTTATTTGTATATTTCTTATGGATTAAGGTTGTGCCATATTTATTAAAGGGTGGTGTTAATGTACATATGAAAATAATGCGGAAGGTGTTGAGATATTTTGTAATTTGATTGGGTGTAGGCTCTTCCATACATACGGTGTATTGGTGAATCATGGCCCATGACAAAGGAGCGAGCATATTTTGAGGCAATGGCGTTGAAAGAGCATGGCCAGTTGTGCCCTGGTCATGTTCCCGAAGTGTATCATTTTGACCGTACGATGGCGTTGATTGGTATGCGATACTTGGAGCCTCCGCATATTATCCTGAGAAAAGGGTTGATTGCTGGAATTGAGTATCCATTGCTTGCGGAACACATGTCAGAATATATGGCGAGGACTCTTTTCAGCACATCTCTTCTTTATCGTACTACCTTGGAGCACAAACGTGCTGGTAAAAGTTTTTCCATCATTCGTATTGTTTTAGGATTCATTTTTTTTTCCCACTGTTGTATAGTTTAATTTTTCATTTAAAAAGTTGTACTTTAATATAGCTGATATTTATTGCATAATACCTTTCAATTATATGTAAATTGTAGATTATGAGATGACATTCATGCTTGAAAAAAAATTATTCTTATTTTTGAATTGTTGCAGCATTGATTCACACACGCATTTATAATTTTTTCTCCTAATTCTAATCTTTTTCTAGTTCTGTTTATTAGATCTTGGTTTCGAAACTGTAATTCATTTGCATGTGAGTCCTGTAGTTACTATACTACATTGATGTGTTTGATGGAACATGGCTAATGTGCTTTTCTTATTGATGATGCAGTTGCTGAATTTTGTGGAAATGTGGAGCTATGCAGGCTTACTGAGCAGGTTGTTTTTTCTGACCCCTATAAAGTATCTCAATTTAACCGTTGCACTTCTCCTTTTCTTGATCGTGATGCTGAGGCTGTGCGAGAGGATAACACTTTAAAGCTTGAAGTTGCTGAGTTGAAATCCAAGTACTATTACTTCCATAATACTGATTTCTTTCCATAATGTATGGAAACTCTTTATTTTTTTATTTTTTAAATTATAATACACTGAAGCTGCATTTTGTATAGGTTCTGCGAAAGAGCACAAGCTCTGATACATGGAGATCTCCACACTGGCTCTGTCATGGTTACTCTTGATTCAACTCAGGTTATAGATCCAGAATTTGCATTTTATGGACCAATGGGTTTCGATATTGGAGCTTTTCTTGGAAACTTAATTTTGGCTTATTTTGCCCAAGATGGACATATTGATCAAGGGAATGATCGGAAAGTATGTCTCAGTTTTCTGATTACTTTGCCTTCTTTATTTATTTTTTTTATTTGGAGACTGTATTTTTGTGCATGTCCTGATCCTTTTTACCTAATTGCGTTATTCATCTTCAGATTTATTTTCCCTTTTTTGTATTATACCTGTTCTTTATCCTTAATGAGGTAGCTATTTTTAGTTATTAACTAATTAATTTTATGGGGTTCATGGGGCACTTTTATATCTTTCTTCTGCATGGCATTGTCTTAGTGCCATTTTTTTTTTTCTGCATTTCATGTTGCATTTCTGAGGAAAAAAAATGACACATTTCCTTGGTGCTGCCTGTAACAACCTTGTTTGTTACTTGTCCTGCTTAATAAATTTCGGGACTTGTGTTCTAACATCTTAATTTTGTTTGTGTCTTTGAATTTCTACATGCCCTATTTTTTTTTTTTTTTTTAATTATTTTTGGCTACTAAATATGTTAGCTTTAGCTCTCAAGTCTCATCTCTATGATGATTAGCATCTAGAGTTTCTTAGCCGTCATCCCTGGAGGAATTTTAACCATATGAACTCTTTGTACTAGTTCTAGAAAGATCAGATATGGTAGCTGAAATCAAAGAAGACAAACAAATGAAAATATTAAGTGAAGTAATTAAAAACAGAAGTAATGAGTTTTAAGTCGCTGCTGGTAGACTTTTAACTTAAAGCCTTATAGATTCTAATATAACATTAGCTTCAGCACTTATAATCATGCTGGTATAAATTAGTGTTTGGCAGTTTAGAAATATATGGTAGTGAGATAATTAACAATCCAGACCAAATGAGTATGAGATGTGTAACACTATGATTACATGGTTGTAATTTTTTTCTTCCTTTTTCTTTCTTGTTTTATGGGGGAGAGTAATTTGAAGGACCATTCAAGGGACATTCTTGCAGTATTTGATTTTTTTTTCATGGGTCGTGCCTAAACTTAATGTCTTCTTGCAGACATATAAAAAGTGGATTCTGAAGACAATTGAAGAGACTTGGACTCTGTTCCACAATAAGTTCACGGCACTTTGGCATCAACACAAGGATGGTTCGGGTGAGGCATATCTTCCTGAAATTTATAACAACCCCGAGCTTCAGCAGCTTATACAAGAAAAATATATGAAAGATCTATTCCATGACACCCTTGGATTTGGTGCTGCCAAAATGATAAGGTGAGATGAAGATTTTTTTCTTCATTTTTTTTTATATATTTGCTGTCATAGTTCCCAGGCTTCCTTTCTTTGCTTTTGTTGACTTTTGCAGTTGATTATTGCAGTTATGGAAGGTTTCTTGATAATTTTTTATATTTATGGTCTTGTTTCTTCATCCTGCCATCATGAAGGCGATGTTTGCTTATAAATTTAGTGTTTCCGCCTGATATAGTTTGTGAATGTGGACAGACCCTTGACTAAAATTTTGGGCTTCCAACAATAAATAGATTGTTGAATTCACTAGTAATTGCTTTTGCGATCTTAATTTTCTGAGCTGGAATAAATTCAAGCTTGGAAAGGTCATGATGTGAATTATGTTCTGATTCTGATCCATTATGTTTAGCTCCTTGTTCTTGTATCTTTCCAGTGAAAATTGTCAGCTTACTTATGTTTTTATAATAAATGATGGTTGATCAATATCAAAATTATAACAGTGCTGTGATGTTACATATCAACTTAAGCTTGATAGGTTATGTTAAAATTCTAAAATTTCTCCCATTCTATTAATCAATTAATGATACAAATCAAGACTTTACATAAGTTTGGATTCACATGAGAAGTCCATTAATTAATTATTGTCATAAATGTGAGGGAGACCCCTTTCCTATTAGCTTAGAATTTTGAGGTTATTGGTTTCAGCATTTGTTAAGTTTTGTTGTTTTCCTGTAACTTCATTGGCATTCTAGTTCTGAAATTTATTTAGGATATTGTGAATCCATATTGATGATGTTTCTACCATTTGATGGACAGGAGGATTGTCGGTGTTGCCCATGTTGAGGATTTTGAATCAATTGAGGATTCTAGCAAACGAGCAGCTTGAGAGAGGCGAGCTCTTGATTTGGCAAAAATGCTTCTCAAGGAAAGGCGAAAATTCCAAGCCATTACTGAAGTTATTTCAGCAATTCAGCTTCAGTCGTAATATAAGTTTTAAGGTAAAATTGATGGTTTGTTTTATGTAGTGAGGTTCTGTATGAAAGCAGTTTCATATTCTTGTTTAAAATGAGGGAAAAAGAGATGAGAGAACCACATTTTCATTACAAGATTATCCTTGGCTGTAATTATCATGAGTGTTCATATCAGAGTATAAATTTTCCCTCGACAAACTTTTCAACTTGGGGTTGTGAATGCTGTAATCTTGATCTTTT